CCCCCGCGGGGGCGGGGGGCCCCGCCTCTCTCATCCCCTGGTGCCGCGCTGAGGTGACGGGAGCGCGGCTTGGTTCGGAGGGAGAAATTTTTCTAGAAATATTAAAAATAGGGTTTGGGTATTCACGACAAGATGAAATAAAGCGCTGGAAGAGAAATCAACGGTAAAAGGCTAGTATTTGATCACTGAAGGTACGGTGCGCCACCGAGTGACAGACCACACACCAGAAAGGGCTGAAGATGCTTTAAACAGATTTATTTACTACAAAACAGTAGAGTAGAAAGCGTTTGGAAAACTTTTTATTCAATATTGGACTACTTGGTTTAAACTTCTGAATAAAAGCACGTTTTTACAGTTAAAAGTACTTACCCCCTACCCTACTCACTCGAGCAGTTAACTAAGTTGTTTGCACAATCCTCTATAAAATTAAACGACTCAAACAGACATTGGTACATTTAAAAGCAGCACTGTCAGGTCAGCCCTGATGTGTTTATACAGCTGTGCTCTATTATTTCACCTGTTCTTTTCGCCTACCCGCAACACACAACTGCGGTGTTGCAACGGCAGCTGACAGAGGTGGCTGGTCTGCTGTGGCACTGTAAGGGCGACTCCTCACTCTGCCTCCAGCCCTCGCTCCTCTTGCCCCTCAAGGCCTCCTCAGGCACAGCGGGGACAGCTCCTTCGAAGGCAGGGAACGCAGGGCTTCCCGTGCTATGAAGCTTCACCTCCCAGACGCTGCAAGCAGAGATTCAATATCCTGAATTACTTTAGAAGTTTTTTCCAAAGCCTCCAAGACGTACCCTTGACTGATTTCTTCCGGCTCGCTCCCGCTCTCTGTTTTTCTGACAGTAACACCAGATGGACTGTTTTTTGCAGCAGATGTCCTTTCCAGAACATTGCTATTATCCAATAAAACTAGTGTTATTTTGTTAAGAAAAAAAATACCAAACTCCTCCTCCTAATGAGAAAAGTACTTCTCTGTACTTGTCTTCATCATTCTGCATTGCAAAGTCTCACATCTCATAGCATGGTAATTACATAAAGCTAAAAAATAAAAGAGTATATTACTTAAAATGGCACAACTTTTAGAGAAAATGTCTTTAAGACTTCAATTTATCCAAAAGTCACTTTAAAAAGGAAACTATCTGATGTCACACTGCACAGTTTAACAGTATGCACTTTTCACACTAATAAAATTCAGCACTGGCTTAAAGACAATTATAGAGTGGCTTTAAGCACATGCAGCACAGCACACTTTTTTGAGCTGGCTGAACATAGTGGAGCAATACTGAGGTGGTTGATTTTACAGAAAGGTACTGTACTGCAACAACAAGCCCAAAGGCAACTGCATCATCCCTCCTTCAAGAACAGATCAGCAGATGAGTGTTAGCAAAACTGATGCAATACCCATTAAAGGACTTCCTTTTTTTGGTAATTTTCTATTTTAGTTTTGTACTCTGCCACTGGTTTTGTTTCTGGTGCTGTGATGCAGAAGTTGGACAAGATCAATGATCAACCAAAAATGATAAATAAGAAAACAAAAAATGGCTTAAAAAGGTAATTTTAAGAAGTGGGTAAGACAATAAAAGAAGGTGAGAACAGGACAGAGAGTCTTTGATGATCTACAATGCAGATTTGAATATGCAGATGAACAACAGAATATAAAAGTGAAAAATGTTTACAGCTTTCAAAGGATACAGTTAAATCTCTGTATTTTTTCGAGCTCAGCATCAGCAGACCTGTCCAAGAAAATAAAGATTATTAAACAACTTAGTATCACAAAAGGTTCTCAAATGTATTTTCTGCTTCAGATTTTAATTTTTAATAGTTTCCAGCAATACTGAAAACTAGACAAGCAAAATCCCAGTGAAAAAAATGATTTATTTTTGGCTTTCATACCACTAGTCAACGGCTGCCATTTGTCAACCATTTGTGTCTCCAAAAATCAGCGCTCTGCTCTAAGGACAGCCTCTTTGCTATATGTATGTATAAATATAGATAGAATTTTCATTTCATCAGCTACTGAATCTGCTATAATTTGAATAACAAGTGCAAGTGTAATCGATTTCAATTAACACATTTTCAATACCCAAATATGGTTTTTTATATGATGTCAGTAGCCCTTTGGTCAGTAGCATGCATTAAAAAGGACAAATACATTAGCAAGAGACACGAGCGTCATTCAACAGTTCAAAGTACTATTTTGAACTGCTTGGTGTTCTGTTAAAAGATGCCTTTCCTAGTCTAGCTTCTCTTTTTCACCTTGCAAGATACTATCTCCGTAACATTAATCCTCCTTTGGCAAAGTCACCATAATTCTGATTTTTAAGTAAGGCAGGCAGAAGCGCAACGCAACAAGCTTCACCTAGAACTCAACTTACGTAATGTTTTAAACGCTGAAAGAAAAATATGAAACCACACCAAATAAATGGCTTTGCAATTTTCATTTTTGACCCTTAGGAAATGCAGCCTATAAAACTGAGTTTATAGTCTTCTTGAGTTTTATTTTCAACATTATTTGTAGCCAATTATTTAGGATAAAGATGAATACCAATTTTCTTCAGTTAGAGAGTGCCCAGTATATTCAGCAATCTCGTTCCTTTCATTCAAACTTCTGCACCATTCTATTGCCATTCTGATGTACCTACGTTAACATGGAAATTCATAAAAAAGTAGTTATTTATATGAGAAATACATTCTATTAATTCTAGCAAAAAACTGAAGGCATTAAGCAATACACCTGGATCTGAAAGAAAAAGCCATGATTCAAAATCTAGCTTTTTCTCTAGGCTTCCTTGCCATATTTTGATTCCCACTCTTTGTGTAGAATCTCCTTCATATTTAAATCTATGCAGTTATAGAAAATTACAACAAAGCTGTATGATTTGTAATGAATAGTGTACAAATGTTAATTTTTGTTTGTGACTATCTGCTTGCTAAAACGCAGCACAGTAAGCTTCTGATGATTCCCATAATGAGTCTGTAATTAGAGCGAGCAGATTAGAGAAAGCAATCTGCAAGCAGAGGTCAATATCTGTAATAAAGCAAAAACTGGATAAAGTGCTGTCCAGTTCTATGCACCAGCTCTATATAGGACAAAGATTTTTTCTTTTTCTTATCCACTGATGTTAAGTGCCAACTTGCATCTCTGGTTATTTTTTAAGAAGACATTACTGTAGCAATTATAATGGAATGACAGCATGCAGTGGTTCTGAGTCATACAGGTCCTGAATCTGTGCCAGATGTAAGATGGAGCTTTTATCATTACGTGTTTCGTTCCCCTCCCAATATATTTCCAGTAAATACCATTTCTTCTTATAAAGGATTTGTACAGAATTCTTTTATATTTAACTTTAAATTGTTTAAATTACTTATACCTTTCATAGATTCCAGGATGACTTATTTGCATTAGTTGCTGAACCCCATCAGGAGTAGTTAACTTACACCAGCCTACATCTTCATTTACCTTAGAAGAAAAAAAATTACAAGTATTAATTTTCTGCTGCAGTCCGAAGGAAAAAAAGCAAGTATAATACGCCAATTTAAGAATTAAGTATCTATGAACATTCCACTTTAAACACTTAAAAGTTTGTGTTTTGCTAAGGATAGAATTTGGTATAGTCTGCTATGACAAATGCAGGGGAGGGGGGAGAGAACACCTGGGATGGCCCCAACACTCGTTTTGTGCCATGCAAGAATAAATTATTTCTAAAAGTGTGTAGAAATGTTTCCAAACCTGTAGAATTTTCAGTTCTTCCTCCTTTTATCATGAGTGAGCATACAGATTTGAGCTAGCTCACATCAGGAAGTTATACTCTATCTTTTGACACACTATCATATTTAGATTGTTTATAATAGAGACAATCCCAGACACTTTAACATCTTCTTTGTGTCCTGTCACCTTAGGGTAATAAGCAAAGACACAGAAGCCAAAAGTGTCAGCAGTCAACCTTGAATCCCATACTCACTTAATTTTCTCTGTAGTGCCATTTTGCAAAAATCAACATAATCTTTTTACTTCTATATTAAGTATATTTAAAAATGTGTATGGAATACCATACATGCAAGGTTACTTTCCTAAGTAATTTTTCACTAGCCATTTCCTCAATTACAGATAATTGGAAATAAAACCCAAATATTCCCTTCTTTGATCAATGTGAGTGACTTCTTAAAAGGATAAAGTTTCATTTGCCTCTTTAGGCATCAGTTATGCACTAAAATATTTTTCCTCCTCATTTCTGGCTACAATACTGGCAATACATTAACAGTGGCATTTGCAGATAGTTCCTATTTTCATTTACACTAGTACACAAGCTTAAGAGTAAGCCACGGCAGCAAACTGCTGTGAGTTACGAATCTCTCAAAAGACTTCAGTTTGTATTTTACAGGCATCAAAACTTTTGTTTAGTTTCCTCATTAGTTTCCTAGTAACACTTTTTCATGAAGAGTTTTAAGAACAGTCATTCCTCTAACTCATGGGTTACCTGGATCTTACTACAGGAAGAGCTGAAATCCCAGACCATATTCAAGGTCACCCCATCCCAAAAAGCAGCATGGACTTTATGATCCGAGTACACGAGGAGTCTTCCTGTGCTGGGAATAACTTTTTCGTACAGCAAAACTGGCAACATTTCTCGTCCATCTGTCTCAGGTACCTAGAACCAAACAAATACATTAAAAACTTGAGGAAAGGCGACTTACATCATTACAGCTGTTTGTATCTCTCCCAGATTTTCAACTCACTTGTTTTTCCAGACCACAACCAGCTCTCTTTATCATGCAATTGCTTTCTGCTTCACAAATAACAGCTTTACACTGCCTGCTTTTGGTTCCCAAACCTATACCTTCTGATCTTTGAGGATACACTCACCATTCTTCCCTCTAGATTAGGTCCTATTCCCTACAGCCTGTATAATCATTCTTATAACACTGGAAGATTTATAAATCTTCAGCTACATACCATTTTCCAGCAGCAGAGATAACAGTTATGAGTTAATGATAGTTTAGTCTTGTAGCAGTACTGAAGTATTCTGAGGAGCAAAAAAACAAACAAAATATTAAGCACTTCATACTTACTATGTCTTCTAAATAGCTGCGCCCTTTGTTCTGTAAGTTTATAGACACCATCAGACCTATAAATTCCTTCAATTTTTATACTTAATGTCATAATAAGTATTATGTGTAATTTTTACTACTGTCCTTTCAAAGTCAGAGGAATTAATGTAACAAAGATAAAGTAAAGTTACTTGGCTGCCTGAGTAATAACGGAGGATACAGAGTACGGATTTCCTGGTACATCAGGAGGTAGGCTCTTTACTGAATACATCTTTTCTTCTCTCTGCAGTAAACAGCAGAAAGGAGAAGAGTGAGTTAAAACAGTGTTAAAAGCTTGCAAGATAGGAAATTTCTGACCTCCCAGAAAGCAACTATAATCACATTTAAACTTGTCCCAGAACACACATAAATATCTCCTTGAAAATTAAAAAAAAAAATGCAGTTTTATCCGTTAAGCCTACTTCTGTGGGAAGAAACATTCAAGAGTTTCCATGCTCTCAGTAGGGACCAAGAAGTTCTCTTATCAGAGAGTAGACTGCAGTTCATTACTGAGTAACTACATTTGATTACAAGTTAAAGGCTAGGTTTGAAGGGTACAACGTTGACCCTTAATTCTGCTTTAAAAATACAAAACACTGCATAAGCACCTGAGAGGATGTCTACTCTGGGAAAATGTAAGAACAGACAGACACAGAGAGGCAAAACCATTTCTCCAGCACTGAACAGCTGGTCTGTGGCACAGCCAGAACAGAACCTGCATCTTCTAGGTTCTGTCTCCGTACAGTAAAAAAGAAAACACTTCCAAGTACATAAAGATTAAACTCTAATCAATATATTAAAGACTAAATTTCTCTTCTAAATTAGCGAAAAATGGTTATTGTAGAATTTTACTGCAGTACATACTTGAGCTTGTGAAATAAATGTTACAATGAGTAAGATTTTTCTTATTGTGTCTATAATTTACAAAAATACATTCTGAAACAGAAGTAGTAATCTCATTTTTTGTATGATTGATTGCTTGATTCAGTCATTATAGTAATTACTAATGTAGGCACTTCACTACAGACTGCATAGCCTTAAACTGCATAGACTTAAAACTAAGAAAACTGCTAACTTGAAGGAATTTGGAACATACTTAAAAATTTTTTTGGAACAGATTTTAAAATTTTTTAAAATTGTTTTATAGTTTGATACCTTTTTTGTTCCTTTTTGGATTGCATAATGTACGAAATAGTTTCCCAAAAATGCTCCCTCTGACTTGAAAAATGAGTCATCACCAGGATAAATTTCTGTGATGTTTGTCGTACCATGGATAAATCTAAGAGAAATAACAAGATTTTAAACAAGTACTTAAAATGCTGTGTCACTAGACAAGCAAAACAGGTTGGTACACTGGAAGAAAGCACTAAGCTTTAAACACATTTTCAACACAACTCTCCCATGAAAAACTTTCCGCTATTTCACAAACAGCAGTGTACCAATTACTTCTTTTAACACAGAAGATTAGCATTATCAGGCTCTTTGTTTGCCTGTGTGCATGGGGAGTGGGAGTTAAACAAGCTAAGGAAAGCTTTTTTGTGTTGAGGTAAATATCTCACAAAAGCTACTTATTCCACTGACCACAAAATATAGTGATTCTAAAGAGAAAAATCCAATTTTCTTAGTGGACCGGCCCTACCTAGTGTACACGGGGAGCTGTCAGACTGAATGATTCATGAACAACCTGAAGGTCTTCATTTCCACTTGCAGCTGTGTGTTTTTCACCAAGATCAATGGTCTTTTCCTTGTGATCATACAGTATCTTGGAGCCTAAAACCCACTTAATGACCCAATTCTGCAACTCTGTGGTTAGATTCCTGGACTTTGGTAATGGGACTTATAAGACTAAGCATGGCTACTCACCATACCTCCAAAGAAATGAGGTATAGTACTGAAGAGCTGCTAAACATTCTGTTCAGACGAGATGAAAATTTTCAAATTACACTGAGAAAAATGAAGACCGATTATGCTTTTATCAAAGACTTTCAGATGCTGATAGTAACTGTAGCATTTTCGAAGTTTGTATAACAGATTTGAAAGGGCAGTTTTTAAAAAAGTCTTTTTTTTTTTTTTTTAAACCATATGGACAAGGTGATTGGCCAGGAAAATCCAGAGTTTAGCTGCCTGCAACACACAAATTATGTAGGTCACCAAGACAAACACTTCTAAAGCGTGAAATCTTCAGCATCAAAAGAAGCAATGTAATTCGCAAAGAAACCAAGCACCATAATTGTCAGTGAAGTCTGTGGGAGCTCCAGCTGTCCAGTAACCTTTGAGAAATCAGATAATCAGATCCCTTCTTTAAAAGCCTCAAACATGATTTCAGATCGATTGTTTCAGACATACCCACTTTCAGGCCTGGAAATACACTGTACTAGAAAATTTGAAATCCAATGAACAAAGAGCAGAAATGAACGGACTCTTATGTGAATATTGTGTACAACTTCTCAGAGTGAGAAAGGGACAAAGTAAGACATTTCATCTTAAAGCTTAATTTGCATACAAATGAAATCTTCCAAAGATGAAATGCATGACCTACATACCTATAAAAAATACCCTGACACCATACAACTTGAATTAGCTGAGGGCATGAATACTTTTCAGTATCTTGATTCTGAAAGAAGTCACAGAAAGTCCACCTGTAGAAAATACAATAAAAGCTGCTGTAAGTCCGAAGGTCGAGGGTTTGGTTTTTTTTTTGTGTTTGTGTGTGCTGGTAATCATTTCTGTACCAAGAACAGATGCATGCACACCTATGCAAAGGAAGAGAGGCCATGTATTTTCAGAGTCCTCCGATTCCTTACTTATCCACATCAGTTACCAAACAAATTAGTTCTCTCACACCTGCAAAGTATTTTTTTTTATTATTTTTAGTGGTGCTGACAGAGAACGTATGCTACTGGCCCACCTCAGAAGTATTAGTGTCTCAAAAATGAAAAAAAACCAAACCAACCCAAAATCTGTGTTATTTTTTCAGTATTCTCTTTTTCATTTACATATTTATGCAGCATGTCAGAAAATAAACTTTATTTTTCTCTGGACTAGTTACTATGTGTTCATTACAGTAGGATGCAGAATGTTGGTTTCACAAATTTCACGTTTCAAGAAGTTCCTAAAAAAAAGGAATAGAACAGTAATTTTTTTTTTTAATAGCTAGAATTCAGTTATTTTCCTAGAGGTTGAATTTCCAAATTGCAGAATTGTAAAACATATGTTAACAACTACAAAGCAAACAGCTTAAATTACCTGTGTAAATGTGGGGCTCTGCAGCTGAGTGGCAAAGCTGTAGGTAAATGAGAAACTCTTTCATGTGTTTCGGGATCTATTAAAACAGCAGCTTCTGTAGGTGTATGGCTGTTTTTCTCACATGTCTTCATTACATTGTTAACAGTATGTAAGTTATAGCACATTAGTGCCAACAACAAAGGGTATTTCCATTCTTCTGGGTAGGAGGAAACAGACCAACGCTGTGTAACCCAGGTGTATTCGGAAGAACAGTTTGAGTAGAACAGAGGGACTCCATTTCTGTCCTTTTGGTCCTTTGGTTTGGCTGGTTCTCTGTATTCACCTTCAGCACAACCATGTTCATTCTTCTTATTCTCTGTTCTCATTTGTTTCGATGACATTTCTGCAACAGAATTTTTACTTGATTTTCCGTACTGATCTCCGGTTTGATAGTTGCCGTTCTTTTGAGAGGAGCGTAAGGATGCTGCAGATGACTGGCTGACTTTGCATAAGAACTCCACTGTAAATTCTTGCTGCAATTCTGACAGGTAAAGGTGAGCATAACCATCTACTGATGAGATCTTCACATTGCCATTGTCTATACATCTTGTCAGATCAGCCGTAGCAGGGTCAGGCCATCTAACTTCTAAGATATCACTGAAAAGAATCTAACACAAGAAAAAGGATTGGAATGTACAGCAAGATAAAAATGACCTACTTCCCAGAAATTACAATGGAGGATTTATATTTAAATGAATTCAGTCCTTCTGCAAGGTGAGGTACAACAAGAAACTTTACTGTGTATTTATTTGCGTACATGAACTCAAGACAAAGCAAAATACCTAACCTTCCTATCTGCTTCCTCCTGTTCTAACAGAGTTCTATCTAGCAATAATGTTTTTATTTAATATGCATTCATAAACTAGTAAGGTACATGGCCAACTGACCAGGCACAACTGCCCACAGACAGCAGATGTTGCCAACTGCTTCGTAAGAAACACTGAAGAGAAAGCCTGAATTATCTTGAGCATAACAGTTATCAGTAGACTTCATGCAAAACTCACACTAAAACTGTGTACATTAAAACCCCACGTGCTTTGAAATCTTCTCTTTATTTATAAAATTTAAATAAGCCTGTAAAATTGCATGTAACATGTATTCACGTGTTCTTACCGACACGGAAACGTACAGAAAATGTTTTGCAGGTAGGTGGACAATCTTACTTAATCCTACGCAGCTATTGCTAGGATGTGGATAAAACATATTTCTGAAGAAGAATTTAAAATATAATAAAGATTTTAGACTTTTACAATACAACATTTGGAAAGCCTCAAAAGAATAGCCTCATCTTACTGCTGTGATATTCAAGTACAGATTGCTGCTTCAATTAGCACTTTTGTTCAAAACAAATGAAAAACATTTTCACAGCATATGCCCTTGTGCTACCCTTTCTACAAAAATGAAGCAGATGATTCTCAACAAATTACTCCAAACAAGCACTGCATCTACCTCAAACCCCAGATTAAAGCTTTGCCCAAAGAGAAGACATAATTTAGAAAACACACCGATCACCTTCTGAAACTGGAAACATTCTGTCAAGATAGAGAATGCCTTTCTAGCCATCTGCAGAAGTTCTGCCCTAAAATGATGCATCTTCCTTTGTATTGTCCTTACACCTGATAACCACACAGAAAATACCCTTAAGTCTGCTTTCAAGTGAAGACTCCAGGTAAAGCACTGGATCCCAAATAAACGCAGAAATGCAAATCTTCTCAAATAAGGTGTGAAAAAAACTTAGCAAATGGGTACACACACTCCTCATCGCTTGTTTTATCTCAACTTTATCAGCTTGGTCTCATTTGACTGACCTTTAATCAGATACGTTTCAGGCCCGATCGTACTTTGGCCTGGTACTGGAAAAGCCTGGAGTCCAATAGAAATGAAACACAGCAGCACTAGTGCATTAGTAAGGTGGGAAAGTCTGCTGAAGGTATTTGGGGCACCAAAGATGAAAATTTACCATACAGAATTGCAAAAGGACCCTAAAAAAGAAAATCAAGTGACCAGACAATAAGGCTGTGGATAAAAATTCAGCAGAGATAAACGCAGTGTGATATAAATGGGGAAAAGCACTCCTAACTTTCCATATAAAAGGATGGGCTCTGAGCTGACTACTACCACGCAGGAATAAGATCTTGGTGTTGACTAACAGTCCCATGAAAACATATTCTATGTTCAGCAGCAGCAGTTTAAGCAGTGTATCAAATGTTTGAAAATTCTAGGAAAGGAACAAGAACAAACACAAGATGTAACCATACCACTGAATATATTCATGGTTAATCACCATTTTGAATACTATTGGCAGTTCTGAACAGGCCACACCATCGACAAGAAGCCCTTCGTCAAGCTGTCTAGAGATGTGGATGGTTCATGTGGCCAAAGCAGAGCCTAAGCAAACTGCAGTACCAGGTTGTTTTGAATTCAAGCATAAGCAAAGTAATACAGTATAACTGGAGAAGTGTTTTTGTACTCAGTAGCCCAGCATAAGTAGTCTCACTGCTCGTAACAGGCCACAGGCCATAGGCTAACTGTGTCTTACCCAACCGTGCAAGGCCCCAGGCTGGCCCGTTAGGCTCGTTATAAACTTGTTATGAGAACAGGCTGAGTGAACTGGAGCTTAGTAATTTATCTCATTATAATGGACAGCTGAAATGTAGGAAATAGCAAAGGCTTGGAAAATGTGGGCACTGATTGAAAATAGAGGCCACAGAACAATAAACTGATAGCAAATTACTGCAGAAGTACAATCTCAAGAGCTACAAAAAGACTGCTTTTGCTTTCAGAAAAGCAGCAGCTGATAAACCAAGGGGGAAAAAAGAAAAGGCAAAAATAAAAAGCCAAGCAACAGGATAAGGCACTTGCTGTGGCCTGGGAAAGATATCCCTCAACATCCTGGAGCGGGCAGTCACAGTGGAAGCTTTTAAGTTAGAAACTGTGGAGCAACCCAGCCATCTTCCAGAAGAACAAGGTCCTGGCTGGGGGCAGGGTGGAGGGTGACACACTAGTGCCAACAACAGCATCAGCTCTGTCCCCTGCACCTTGCGGGGAACGTACAGCGTGACTGTTATGGACTGACTGCTGTGAAGTGCGTAGTGATACTGACTGACGGTGTTTTCAACTCGCAACTAAACGCGAGCATGAAGTGTGTCAATAATGAAGCGTCAGCCTAAAAGTTTTAAAACATAAAAACTCGCCTCGTTTATCAGTCATCTTAAGACTCCCACCACCGGGCGCGCACACTCAGTGGGAGCACCGGGGTGATGCTGATGAGGAGCAAAGCTGCTGGAAATGGTAAATGGGATCTCTGGACGGACCTTCAGCTTGACCTGGGGCAGCCGTTCCCTCGAGTGACGCCTGCCCCATGCCCCTCGCAGGCCCGCCCAACAGACGCACACCCGCACTTCAACAGGGAAACAAGGGGATTCTGAACCTGACAGCCTCTCGGACAACACTGTCCCATTTCACAGAGTCTTCCCTGAAAGGTTCCAAGTGCAGAAAAGTGACGATACATAAACCAGCTCATTCTATCATGTGATCAAAATCCTAGCTTTTAGTCTTACTAAGAGTAAATGAACTCTTTAGCGTTTGGCTACAAAGGATATGCATAAATAGAGGACTAAGTAACAGTTAAAACTGTAATTTAAAATGGGCATATTCTCATAAAATTGACAAATGCATTAGCCAAACCGTACTCTGTAGGTCTTCGAGGCCTGTACTCATACACGTGCGAAGTTACCTAAGTCCACTTTGTCAGACTACTAGGGAAGTTTATTTTACAAAAGCGTTACATGTGTAACCTCTCACCTGTTTTCTTTCTGGAGGTATGATACGTGAAGGTAAGTATGGGCGAGAAGAAAACTTGTTTCGGAAATCCAGAGCTCGTAGAAGTCGTTCCTGTTGAAGCGTGAAGAAAAACAAAACAACAGTGTTGCGTCACGAGCTTTTCCTATGCAGTCATAAAGTTTTAAAGCTGATTTCATCCCCATCTGTTGCGGAGCAGAGGCTAAGGAAGCCCCCGCGCTCCGCAGGG